AGGAAAAAGAAGAGGAGGAAGAGGAGGAGGAGGAGCAGGAGGAGGACGACGACGAAGTGGGAGGGACGGAGGGAGGGAGGGAGGGAGGGAGGGAGGGAGGGAGGGAGGAGGAGGAGGAGGAGGAGGAGGAGGAGAAAGAGGAGAAGGAGGAGCAGGAGGAGACGGAGGAGGAGAAGGAGCCCAACAAGCGCATGCAGAAGGCTCTCGTGGGCCCGATCTCCCTCAGGGCGCGCGCTTGTCTTCGACGGAGTCCGGGAGCCCTATCGAACGCGGCTGTTGCAGGCTGGCGGCGCCGGAGCAAGCAGTTTCACGTGCGTGCCACATCCTTACGCCCAAGCCATCGCAGATGGAGCGTGGCGGAGTGCCCTGCGCAGGCGCCTGCTGTGCACAGTTGAACACATAGTCTTCCCAGCGCATGCGGACCTCAGGGTGCTTGCGGGGCGCAGCTGGATGGTCTTGATTCTTGATGGTCTCTTGCACGCGCGAGAGCGCAAAATCGGCGGAGGCGTCGTAGGGGGCCGCGACGAGATCCGCAAGAGCATCGTGGCGTTCCGTGCGGGCGCACATGGACCCCCGCACGCTTCGCGAGCAGCGCCGGCGGAGAGCTTGCGGGCGCCAGCCTTGGAATATGCAGCGGCCGACGACGACCTGGCCGACGTGCTGGACGTCGCCTTCCACTACGACGGCCGGCGCGTCTCCACCGACGCCGCCGCGGCGAAGGGCGCGCAGAGACCCGCCGCTAGTCCAGGCAGCGGCCGCCGCGGAGGAGGCGAGGGCCAAGCTCAGGAGGGGGAAAAACACAAAGACACAATTGATCGTCGATTCCCCAGAAAATATGAGAAAATATGGGAAGTGGGGGGGAAGAGAAGAACCCAGAAAAGATGGGGAAACATTGGGGAACAGTTTTATTCGTGTGTATTTATTTGTGTGTCCCAGGGCCCCTTCACAAGCGGCGGCGCCGAGGGGGAACTGAGCATCCCCCCGCGCGCCCCCTGAGGTCGGGAGTCGGCGCGGCGAGCGCGCGCGAGGGGCCGTCCACGTGCCAGCCGTCGCGGCCAGCGGCATCTCGCGGGAGGTCCGGCCCTGCCGCGCAGCCTGCCGGGGCCCTGGCGCATTGCCTGCGCCCGCGCGTCCGCCGAGGCTCCCGGGGGCCTGGCATCGCTCGGACGTGTGCGTTTTTTCCTCGGCGAGGACCATCGAGGACGAGGAGCATCCTTGATCACTTGGCGAAAAAACCACGCACGAGACCGAAAAAAACACAGGGACTGGACGTCCGAGCGATGGCCAGGGGGGGGGAGGGGGGCGCGGCGGGTCGGAGATGGGCGGCGCGCGCCGGCCGCGGCCGCGGAGAAGAGGGGGAGGGGAGCAGCCGGAGGAGGCAGGTGGAGCCGACTGTATAAAAGACGGGGCGGGAGCGCCGAGGCGGAGGAGGGCGAGGGAGGAAGAGAGTCGGGGGGCGAGGAGGAGCGCCAAGAGAGGCCCGAAGAGGAGGCGGCGTAGGAAAGAGTGGAGGAGGGCAGGAGGAGGAGGGCAGGAGGAAGTGGAGGAGGAAGTGGAGGAGGAGGAGGAAGTGGAGGAGGAGGACGTGGAGGAGGGCAGGAGGTGAGGACAGGCGACGAGCCGACGGCGACGGGGCCACAGCCGGGCCGAGGGCGCCAGGGGAAGGCGAGGCCGCCAGAGCGGTTGGGCCGCCGTTGCTGACGCCTTCGTCGTCGTCGTCGTCGTCGTCGTCGTCGTCGTCGTCGTCGTCGTCGTCGTCGTCGTCGTCGTCGTCGTCGTCGTCGTTGACGAGAAGTCGAGGAAGTTGGGCAAGTCGAGGAAATGGAGGAGGCGGAGGAGGAGGAGGACAGGAGGAGGATAGGAGGAGGAGGAGGAGGAGGAGGAAGAGGAGGAGGACAGTATGAGGAGATGGTGTAGGATGTGTCCTTCCCCTTACACTTCGCTTTCGACCCCCAGTGGCGACGTCCGCTGGGGGGGCGGGCCGAGTCTGTGACGGGCTGCGTCTGTGACAGGCCCGAAAGGCACCAGAGAAAGCAACAGGAGGAGGAGGAGGAGGAGGAGGATGGGGAGGAGGAAGACGAGGGCACCAGAGATTGCTCGAAACAGCCCGCAGCTTCAGCGTCAGGACGAGAAGGAAGAGGAGGGAAACGAGATCGAGAACGAGCGATTAGACGCAGTCGAGGAACGCACACACAATGCCACACACTGAAATTGTCGAAATACCCGACGAACAGGAAGGTGAAGTACCAGGACAAGTAGTAGAAAGGAGCCCGAGGAAATGCGGCGCGAGGCACAGGTATTGCGTGAGTTGGTTGCGCGGTTGTCACCAGGTAACCTCGAGAGAGAGAGAGGTCGTCTTCCCCACAAATAGCCACGCCACTGCCAGAACAAGTCGAACAAGTTTGTTCCTCCATACCTGTCCAAGTTGAACGACCCTGACACTATGCACGGGACCTTTGAACAACGGAAAAGCCATTCGACCAAAGCACGCATGATAACAGAGTTGCGGCATGAAGCGTAACATCCAATCCCATTGAAGGAGGAGGAGGAGAAGGAGGAGGAGAGGTTCGAGGCTCGAGGGTTTGAGACGCATTTGCGCGCGTCTCGGCCTGCAGGTATGGGGGAGAGTGGACCGGACGCACTGGTAGAAGCGAGTCCCCACCGAATCCCAGTTGCACGCCATTGCGGTTCGCTCGCGCGTGTGCGCCTCTGCTGGCTAGTTTTAAGGCGGGCACGTCCCTCTACAGGAGGAACGTTCAAAAATTGTCAGAAAATAGTCCGGGGGGCATTTTTTAGCATGTCTTGCCTATGTTTGAATATTTCTGGGATATTTTAACATTTGTCATCCAAAATCCCCCCTGTATGGGGGACATGCCCGACCTAAGGCTAGTTCCACTTGCACTTCGGATGCGCACAGCGAAGAGACCGGCGAGAATCAGCAGTAGCACCCTTAGCACCAAAGTGTTCGAGCCCAGACGCACATGCACAAGTCGAGAGTCGCGCGCCAGTCTATAAGCCATGGACCATGCTCTTTTGCATTGTCTCACGTTCCGCCGCGCTGGAGGACAGCTTTGGCAGTCAGAGCCGCAGGATGGTCATTGGCAGGCCAGCGCGTAGTAGTCCCATTGGCTCAATTTTCCGCGCTTCCGCCCGCTGAGCGAGCAGAATGCTGCAGCAGCGTGGCGGAGCGCTCCCCCTCCGATGTTCCTCGCTGGCTCCGCCACCGGCGGGCGCTGCCAGCGCCGAGGCGCCCTCCCGCAGAGCCCACGCGACGCCCCGCGCGGCTGCGCAGCCCCGCCCCTCCGAGGGGAACGAAGCATGCCATGAGCATCCCAACTCGGAGATCCGCGCTGGACCCCCCCCCTCCTCCCTCCTCTTTCCTCCCTTCTCCTTCCTCCCTCCTCCCTCCTCCCCCCTCCTCCCCCCCTTCCTGCTCCCTCCTCCCTCCTCCCTCCTCCCTCCCGCGCCAACCCCAGACATCTGGGCGGACCCCCCTTCCCTGGCGCGCTCCGCGCGCCGGGGGCGGCGCCGCCAGGGGCCGCCCGGGGGCCCCCGGCGCCGACCCGAGCAGGCCGCGCGGACCTCCGAGTCCTGGTGTTTACGTCACGGCCCGCTCCCCCACCTCGGCCCCCCTCCGCCGCGCGGCGCCCGCGGCCCGCCCCTCCTCGCGCGGGGGCGGCGCCGGCCGCGGCCGCCGCGGCGGGCCTCGCGCTCGGCCTCGCGGCGGGCTCGGCGGCCCTGTGGCGGCGCGGGCGCCCGGCCGCGGCGCGGGGGGCGCGCACGGCGGCGCACGGCGGCCGCGAGCCGGGGCGGAGGCGCGCGTGGGGCGGGGGCGCCCTGCTCGCGGCCGCCCCCGGGGCCCCGTCGAGGGCGGAGAGCGGCCCAGCGTCAAGTAGGGCATGTCCCAGTATACAGGCCCCCGACGTAATGATTTCTTCAGTACGTCGACCCCCAGAGGTCCCATCCCTTTCCCCATGACCGGCTTGGCATCCCGAGTCGGCTTTTGACGCCCCCGAGGCCCGGTGACGGCCCCCGGAGGCCGAAAATTAGGAAAAACCTTCCGTCATGATTGTTTCATTACTCGAGGGGGTCTGGGTATACAGGAGGAGGATTCAAAAAAGTGGGCAAGAAGTAGTCTGGGCACGATCTCTCTACTGCGTTTGCCCATGTTTGGTCGTCTGTTGGGTATTCTTTGCCCGTCCTCCAAAGTCCGCTTGTAGGAGGACATGCCCGACCTAAGCCCAGCGGCTTCCGGCTCGGCGGCCGCCGGCGCGGCGCCCGCGGCTCCAGCTGTCGCTCTGGCCCCTGTCCTGGTGCGGCGCCTGTGGTCGACGCCCATCGGGGCGCCGGTGGACGAGAACAACTTCGCCCTGGACTGCCTGTACGAGGACCTGCACTACGCGTTTCCAGTGCTGGCCCGTGGACCCTCGTCGCTCGCAGGGCAGCACAAGAAGAAGCGGCCCCCTGGCACGCGGTTCGTGGTGGACCGCATCTCCGACGGCATCGAGGCCTGCGGGATCGTGTGGCACGTCGAGAGCGACGGGGATGAGGGCGTCGAGGTCGTGGAGCGAGGCCTCACCTTTGCGCGCGTCGACAAGGACGGCAGGCTGTGCTACGTCCGCGAGATCGGCGAGCCGTCCTTCAAGTCCGGGCTCACGCCCGAGACCTTCCAGCAGCTGCGGAGCAGCTCCGCCGCGCCGCCAACGCCCTCGCCGGCGCGCGCGCCCTCGCAGCCACGGCTGCTCACCGAGGGGCGGGCCCCGACCACGGCTGATGGGCCTGTTTTCCACCACCACCACCAGAAGTTGGAGGAGGAGGAGGAGGAGGAAGAGGACCCCCTCCCCCTCCAACTTATGGTGGTGGTGGTGGAAAACAGGCCCATCCACGGCCCGCGACATGCTGCGCTTCCTCTACGGCGAGGCCCCGAGCGGCCGCGGGCAGGCCGTGCCCTCGGACCTGTCGGGCCTCTTCGCCGACGGGGTCGTCTACGAGGACCTGAACTACGAGCAGCCGTTCGTCGGGCGCGCCGCCGTGGAGCTCAAGGGCATCGTGAGGCCCAGACCCCCTCGAGTGATGAAAAAATCACGACGGAAGGTGTTTCCTAACTTTCGGCCTCTGGGGGCCCTCACCGGGCCTCGGGAGCGTCAAAAAACGACTCAGGATGCCAAGCCAGTCATGGGGAAAGGGTCAGGACCTCTGGGGGTCGACGTAATTAGGGGAACAAAAAGTGACATAAACATAAAAACTCGGAGGTCTGCGCGGATTTCCCGGATCGGCGCTGGACCCTCCCTGGCGCGCGGAGTGCGCCAGGGGCGGCGCCGGAGGCGCCGCCAGGGGGTCCAGCGCGGATCCAAGAAATCCGCGCGGACCTCCTAGTTGTTATGTTTATGTCACCTTCTGTTCCTCTAGTAATGAAAAAAGCATTACGTCGGGGTAATGGGGGGGGACAGGGGGTAATGGGCGCAGAGGGGCCGTGGACACGCCAACGGCCATGCAGGTGACGACGATGTGGGTTTCGGTGTCGTGGGAGCGCGCGGCTCGCGCTGTTCTGCGATTCGCTGTGCCGTGCTCGCTCGACACACACACACACACACACACACACATTCGAGCTGTCGGAAGGTGTGGCTCGCGATGCCCTACGATTCGTTTCCCAGCATCGCCGGTAAGCGACATCGCCGTCAGCGTAGCCTTGGAGGGGGGCGCATCGACCCCCGAATCGCGGTGCCGAGGAATGATTGGGGGTCGATGCGCCCCCCTCCAAGGCTACGCTGACGGCGATGTTGCTTAGGGGCGATGCTGGGAACCGAATCGTAGGGCATCGCCGGACGTGTGCAGTGCTTTGCTCTCGGCGGGGGCCAGCGAAGAGCGTCCCGAGCCAGCCGGTATGAGCAACACATGCACGGGGAACGGACGCCCGAGCGGTGGCGAGGATCGCCCACTGATCGCCGACGTGGGGGGCCTGACAGCCCCGCCCCGAGGAGGAAGAGGAGGCGGCGGAGGCGGAGGAGGAGGAGGAGGAGAATGAGGTGGAGGAGGAGGAGGACGAAGAGGAGGAGGAGGAGGAGGAAGAGGAGGAGGAGGAGGAGGAGGAGGAGGAGAACGAGGAGGAGAACGAGGAGGAGGAGGAGGAGGAGGAGGAGAGCCCAGTTGCGTGGGGCTCTGCTTCCGCAGGGCCCGTCGCCGGTCTGGCGGCGCTGCATCGCCGCCTCCAGCGCGGTGTTCCCCCCGCCCCCCCCGGGCTGTCGCTGCCCCTGAGGAGCGCCTCCTGGCGGACGTCCGCGCCACGCAGGCCTCAGGAGGGAAAAAAAACACAGACACAATTAATCGTCGATCCTCAAGAAGATAAGGGAAAATATGGGAATTGGGCGGGAAGAAAAACCCAGAAAATATTGGAACATATGGGGAACATATTTATTTGTGTGTATTCATTTGTGTGTCCTTGGGCCCCTTGAAGGCCGGCCGGAACGACGGCGCCACCTTCGAGGTGGAGGACACCTCGGACGGCCTCGGCGCCGTCTGCTTCACGTACCTCCTCTCGGAGGAGCAGCGGGGACCACCGCCGCCAAGAAGCTGGGCCTCCCACGTGCGGTCCGAGCAGATGGTGGGGCCCGAGGACCGCGCCGCCGGTGCACCGGCGATGCGGCTCGACGTGGAGCCCGATCTTCGCCGCGCCGACGTCGCGGATGCGTCGGCGACGTGTCAGCGATGCGGAGCGATCCTCCGACCCCATCCGCTCGGACCCCATCTGGGATCCGCCCGCGAGGCCTCCAGGGAGGAGGGGGAGGCCGCCCCCCCCCCCCCTCCCGATGGGCTCTCCGTGGCGGTGGTCCTGGCTTCCTCCTCCGATCCTCCGCATCCCCGGCCGCCCCCGGGGCACGCTGCTGACCGGCGTCGACGCGATCAAGGGCGTGGCGTACCTCGAGGTGAGCGGCGGAAGAGAGCGGGGCTGTCTTCACCGGCATCGGCACGCAAGTTGCCCGCATGAGGTCGCGCGTAAGCACCCTCGCTTCCGCGCTGGCGGCCGGCGCAAGTTGCTGCGGAAGGTCGCCACGCCATCTCGCCTCAGACCCTCGGCAGCGAGCCCAGGGGTGCAGCGAGGAGGGGCGGGCCTCAGAAGGCTTGGAAGTCCCCCGGCCGTCTGAGGAGTTTCTTAAGACTTCCCCGCAGACGCAGAAGACTCCTCAGGAGGCCGGAGCGCTCCTGAGAAGACCGCCGCCTTCTCAGAAGGCCTTCTCCTTCTCGCTTCCCCCCCGTGCTCGCCGCCGAGACCCCATTCTCTCCGTCGCCCGGGTGGATCCCCCAGTTCCGCTGGATCTCAGGGATTTTCGATTCATCCGTGCCCCCTTGCATCCGTGCCCCGCTTCCTCCTTGTCTTGGTCTCATCTTACATGGCGTCTCGCGCAAAAGAACCCCTTCTTTTCGTCGCCCAGGTGGATCCGCCGGATCCCAGGGATTCTCGCTTTATCCGTGCCCCGCCTCATCCTCGTCTTGTCCTCGTCTTACAGGTCGTCTCGTGTAAGACCCCCTTCTTTTCGTCGCTCAGGTGGATCCCCCAGATCCGCCGGATCCCAGAGATTCTCGATTTGTCCGTGCCCCGCTTCAGCCTCGTCTCGGCCTCGTCTTACATGTCGTCTCGCGCAAGACCCCCTTCTTTTCGTCTTCCTCCTCGTCGTGGCCTCGTCTTCCATGCCGTCTCGCGTAAGACCCCCTTCTCTCTTCACCTTCCTCCTCGTCGTGGCCTCGGCTTACAGGTCGTCTCGCGTAAGACCCCCTTTCTTTTCTCAGGAGGAAAAGAAACACACAGACACAATGAATCCTAGATTTCCTAGAAAACATGGGAAGTGGGCGGGAAGACAGAAACCCAGAGAATATGGGAAAATATAAGGGGATTCTTTGATTTGTGTGTATTTCTTTGTGTGTCCTTGGGCCCCCTCATTCTCGTCGCCCAGGTGGACGGCGACGGCCGCATCGCCTTCGTGCGCGACGTGCCGCAGTCCTCGGAGAGCCCCGCGGCCCTGCAGCTCGCGGCGGGCCGCCGGGACGGCGGCGGCCTCCGCCGCCTCCTGGAGGGCGGGGACGCGCGGCTGGGCGGCGCGGGGCGCCTCGACTGACCCTCGGGGGCGGCGCTGCGGAGGGGGCGGCTCGCAGCCCAGGGCCCCATCGGGGCGCGAAGGCAGCTCGGGCGATCGCCACCATGGATCCTCCTGCTCCTCCTCCCCCATCCTGCTCCTCCTGCTCCTCCTCCTCCTCCTGCTCCTCCTCCTCCTCCTCCTGCTCCTCCTCCTCCGCCTCCTCCTCCTCCTCTCCTCCTCCTCCCTCCTCCTCCTCCTCTCCTCCTCCTCCTCCTCCTCCTCCTCCTCCTCCTCCTCCTCCTCCTCCTCCTCCTTCCCCCCTCCAAGTTATAGTGGTGGTGGTGGTGGAAAGCAAGCCCATCAACAGGGGGCGCGGATTAGCGACGGGTCTCGTTTTCATGGGAGATCGCGGAGTTCCGCCGCTGAGCGGGGCGGCACCGGCCGCATTCTGTGGAGGGCATCTCCCCCGATCCATGGATTAGGCGACCGCGCGCCAAATCCATGGATCGCTAATCCATGTTTGCGCGCCCCCGACAGACCCCCTCGGGTCACGAAAGAATCGCGACGGGCGGTTTTCCCCTATCTTCTGCTTCTGGGGGCCCTCACCGGGCCTCGGGGCCGTCACAAAACGACTCGGGAGGAGAAACTGGTCCCGGGGAATGGGTCTCGAGAACTCTTGGGGGTCGACTTTTTTAACACCAAGAAAAAAATTGACGTCGGGGGTCTGGGTTTCGACTAGGGCGGCGCCCGGGCGCCACCTCCGAGGAGGGCCCTGGCGGCCTCGGTGGCGCCTCGCTACGGCTAGCCTTGCCCCCCAGACCCCCGACGCCATGTTTTTTTCATGACCTCGACCTCAGAGTTCTCGAGACCCATTCCCCAGGACCGGCTTCTCACCCCGAGTCGTTCTCTTGACGGTCCCGAGGCCCGGTGAGGGCCCCGGGAGGCCGAACATACCGAAAAGCTTCCCACCTCGCCGCGCAGGCCGGGCCTCGGCGGCGCCTGCGCGACAAACCTCCCGAAATGCCGGGCGGCCTCGGCGGCGCCTCGCCGCGGCCCAGCCGGCGCCCCGCGGCCCGCGGCTGGCGGGGGAGGCGTTGCGGGGGAGGCGGCGGCCCGTCCGGCGCGCCGGCCGCTGCCAGTTGCGCGCCCTCTGCTGACCGGGCGGGGCGGCGAGTGCACGCCGCGGTGGCCTTCTGCTCCTCCTCCTCCTCCTCCTCCTCCTCCTCCTCCTCCTCCTCCTCCTCCTCCTCCTGCTCTGCTCCTGCTCCTGCTCCTCCTGCTCCTGCTCCTCCTCCTCCTGCTCCTCTCCTCCTCCTCCTCCTCCTCTCCTCCTCCTTCTCCTCCTCCTCCTGCTCCTGCTCCTGCAGCTCCTCCTCCTGCTCCTTCCTTCCTCCTCCTCCTCCTCCTTCTCCTCCTCCTCCTCCCCCAACTCCTCCCGTCCTCCTCCTCCCCCACTCCTCCCCGTCCTCCTCCTGCTCCTCCTCCTCCTCCTCTCCTCCTCCTCCCTCCTCCTCCTCCTCCTCCTCCTCCTCCCTGCCCTGCTCCTGCTCCTCCTCCTGCTCCTGCTCCTGCCTCCTCCTCCTCCTCCTCCTCCTCCTCCTCCTCCTCCTCCTCCTCGACTACAGTATTGATTTACCCCATCGTTGATCTACGAAGAGCGCGTTCGTAGATTCGAGGAGAAATCAATGTTGGGGTAGATGAGATTCTGCGGTCGATCCCCTATTCGAGCGCGCGGGGGAGCAGAGGCCCAGGTCGGGGCCTCCCGGAGGGGGTCCGAGCAGATAAAGTCGGCGGATCACGCCGCATCGCCGAGGCATCGGCGATGCGGCGCAGTGTGGAGCCCGAGTTCCTCAACGCCGCCGAATTTCACAAATGTGGCAAATCCCCTGTGTTTTTGGACCCTGACCCCGCCGATCTGCGTGAGGGGTGCCAGCAAATTTCAGAAATGTGGCACTGCGTGAGGGGTGCCAATCTTTACCCACCCCAGCAATTCAGAGCACACGCTCATGGCGTGCTAAACCTGCCCGTTTGGGCCTCCCCCCCTCGCGCGGTCCATCAACAAGGAGCAGTAAGTAGCAAGAAGCAGAATTGTAACAGTGGAAACTGGAAGCTGCAACTGGCACAGGAAACTGCAAACCTTCGCCCTGCAGCCTGGTGGCCCCACAAGGGGGCCGGCGGATTCCGGCTTCCGAGGTGACCGAAATAGTACCACCAACACCGAAATCTAGGATCATCTTCCCCCCGTGGAGGCAGCCCCCCTGAGTTGGTGCTGGTGCCACTTTGCAGGCCTCCAACGGTGGACAAGACAAATCATTCAGTGAAGGGATGCGGCCTACCCAGACCCCCGACGTCATGATTTTTTCATGACGTCGACCCCCAGAGATCTCGACCCTTTCCCCGGGACCGGTTTTGCATCCTGAGTCGTGTTTTGACGCTCCCGAGGCCGGGTGAGGGCCCCCGGAGGCCGAAAATGAAGAAAAACCTTCCGTCGTGATTTTTGCGTTGCTCAAGGGGGTCTGGGAACGGTGGACAAGAAGAATCCTTCCGTGAAGGGCTGCGGCCTCGCAGGCGCCCACGCCAGCGCGGCATGCCGCCGGTCTGGTGCCGCAGGGAGGAGGGGGAGGGACGAGGGACGAGGGACGAGGGACGAGGGAGGAGGGACGAGGGACGAGGGACGAGGGACGAGGGACGAGGGACGAGGGACGAGGGACGAGGGAGGAGGGAGGAGGGAGGAGGGAGGAGAGAGGAGGGAGGAGGAGGGAGGAGGAGGAGGAGGAGGAGGAGGAGGAGGAGGAGGAGGAGGGCGCCGCGTGGGGCCCACGGCGGCAGCGCCCGCGGCGGGGCACCGCCGCGGCGGAGCCCCGCCGCCGGGTGGGCGGGATCCCGCCCCCGCAGCCGCGCCGGCGTGGGTACAGACGGCCTAGATCTCGGGGGCGGAAAAGAGGGGGGTGATGACTAGGGGGGGGTGGATATCATGGCGTGGGCCATGATATTTCCCCAGCTTTCATGGCGCCTCTTCTTGTTTCATTACGTTCCTGGCCCCCCCGCCGGGCCGCGCACATGCCGCGGGTCATGATTTGCACCCCCCCCTCTTGGACACCCCCCTCTTGGCCGCTCCCGATGATCGGGGGGTCGACCCTGCCGAATCAAGGGTGCCGAATCAAGGGTGCCCCTGAGCAGCGTGCTCATTGTCATTTTCGCGGGGCATGGCATGCGTGCAAAGCTCCCGGGCCCTTCGTCTTTAGGGGAACAAGAAGTGGCACAAACAGAAAGACTCAGAGGTCCGCGCGGATTTCTCGGATCGGCGCGGGTCAGTGCAAACGGGGTTCAGCCAGGGCGCCGGAGCCTGCAGGATCCTGCGAAGACCCCCTCTGGCTGACCCGGGTGAGCGAGCCGCTCGTGGCCGCGAGGCGGCCGCGCCTATTGGCTGACCCGGGTTTGGATTATAGGGAACAAAAAGTGGCATAAACATAAAGATTCGGAGGTCCGCGCGCATTTCTCGGATCGGAGCGATGTCGTGTCCAAGAAGTTTCATTCGGTGTACAACACACAATACACGTCAATTTCGAGTACAGTGGTGGTAGCAAGCATGTTGGTGAAACACTTGCACCGATGGATTTGGGCATGTTGTTGCCAACCGCGTGCGCATCAGTTCGCGTGCACATGGAGCGTGAACCTCCCCTTCGTGAAAGCGGCCTGGGGCCGAATCCGACGGACCTGGGCCCGCAACAAGACGACGGCCGTGACGCCCTCTCGCGAACCGAAGGCGGCCAATTCCTTGATCGACGTGTCAGGGTAGGAGGTCTATCAACCTCCGAAGCCTCTACAGCTACCAACGCCGGCGCGGCTGGACTCCCTTGGACAGGACACGCGCGAGGACTCAAAGAACCTTCCGGGGGCCACACTGCCGTAGGAATGTGGCAGGCATGGGTCGCGAGACACAGGACACAGGGGTACCCTTGATTTAGCAGGGTCGACCTCTCGGCGGCGCCTCCGGCGCCGCCCCTGGCGCGCGGAGCGCCGACCCGAGAAATCCGATCCGAGAAATCCGCGCGGACCTCCGAGTTTTTATGTTTATGCCATTTGTTGTTCCCCTAGATTAGGAGGTCGACCCAGCTAAATCAAGGGTACCCTGGTGTCCTGTGTCTCGCGACCCATGCCTGCCACATTCCTACGGCAGTGTGGCCCCCGGAAGGTTCTTGAGTCCTCGCGCGTGTCCTGTCCAAGGAAGTCCAGCTGCGCCGGCGTTGGTAGCTGTAGAGGTTTCGGAGGTTGATAGACTTCCTACCCTGACACGTCGATCAAGGAATTGGCCGCCTTCAGTTCGCGAGAGGGCGTCACGGCCGTCGTCTTATTGCGGGCCCAGGTCCGTCGGACGCGGCCCCAGGCCGCTTTCACGAAGGGGAGGTTCGCTAAAAGGAGGCTTGTCCACCGCCGAAGGTTGCTGGCGTTCAGGAGGAAAAGAAACACACAGACACAATTAATCGGCGATACCCCAGGAAAATATGCGAAATATGGGCAGTGGGGGGGAAGGCAAAAACCCAGAAAATATTGGAAAATATAGGGAATCCTTTTATTTGTGTGTGTATTTATTTTTGTGTCCCAGGGCCCCTTCAGTGCTGCGCGCGGCGAGGGCGAGCTGGAAGCACGACCTGATGAGGCCGCCGACCGCTCGAGGCCCCACAGAAGTCAGCCACAGGCTCGAGCTGTGCGAGAGCGAATGGCCCGGGATCTTTGCATGCATGCCTAGGGGAACAAAAAGTGACATAAACATAAAAATTCAGAGGCCCGCGCGGATTTCTCGGATCCGCGCTGGAGTCCCCCGGGCGGCGCCTCCGGCGCCGCCCCTGACGCGCTCCGCGCGCCAGGGAGGGGGGTCCAGCGCGGATCCGAGAAGTCCGCGCGGACCTCCGAGTTTTTATGTTTATGTCACTTTTTGTTCCCCTATTTGCATGCGTGCCATGCCCCACGAAGATGACAATGAGCACGCTGCTCAGGGCGATCCCTACCACTTGCGGCCTTCGAACGCTTCCTCGTGTTTCACCCCCGTGCACTTGCAGTCGACTGTGCGGCACTTGGCCGAAGAAGAGAACGGGCAGGAATAG